TCATTTTGAACTCCTTTACGATCACTGCCGTTTCACGGCTTCTTCAGACATGGTATTCATGAAGCGGAGGCGGTTACTCTCGCCAAAAGCGCTATAAGATGGCAGCCTAATTCATATCGCCGTCCATTCTCAATGAAAGGCTTTGCCTCTATTGTTTCCGTTCCTACTGTGGCGTTAAAATCTCGTTGGACGACTGTGTGCAATGGCGTCTTTTGCTTTGTTGTTTCCAGTTCTTCGTAGAACTGCTCTACTTCTTTATCGCCTGCTTGGTGTATTCAGCCTTAAACATGGATTATCTATGGTGATCAATGCAAATTAACCGTTTATTAGTTTCTGGTACCACTGATAAAAATAACATTGTCCTGTCGCTTCTCCCGCACTTTGCTGCCAGTAGCCTAAGGAACCACTTTATACAGGGTACAGTTCTATGGTATTTTAGCACCTGCATTAGCACCCCACCAGAAGGTAATCAACTGCGACTAGAATGATATTGTATGAAAGTACGGAATTGTTAACAGCTTCATATGGTTGCTAAAAGAAAGATTAACGAAAGAGCAGGAAGAACTGTTAAAAGTGCAGCAGTGAACCATGAAACACAAGATGCTAAGAATTTTCGTCAGGAACAGACATGGAAATGAGAAAATAAGGTCACGCAAGGAAATGCAATATCTGATATCAGTTTCACAAAGAAGAAAACAAAAATGGGCGGGCAGTTCACCTCAATGGTACCCATGAAGCTGCAAGCGCCGAAGCTGATCTTCGTTCAGGTGGAACGGTCAGCAAAAAGAGACTTACGCGAGCTTGTGGCCATAAATCGTACCAGACTGAAGTCCACGTACTGAATTAGGTACCATCGAAGTAGGTAATATGTGATCCCCTTTGGATACGAAGAGAAATCAGTCAGTAGTATCAAGAAGATTAACCCATACACTTTGCTGATGACTAGTTTCATATGGTCGAAGTCAAGAAACGATGGAGATTCATCTGTGCCTTGTAGGTTCTATAAAACCATTTATTCATGACGCGCATAAATGGCTGTTTAAACATCGATGAAGAAGGCAACATCGTCATAGTCCTTTCGTGGGAGTTGAGTCCGGTTTGGTAAAGTTATCCTTATTCTATGTCCTGATAAACAGTGTTAGGAGAACTTAGCAGTGTCAGTAAAGGGCAAAATAGGATGTTCTACGAACCAGCATTTTAGTAAATCAAGAAATTTTTTGCCTTGGCGAAACTTTCGGAATCAGAATCAGAATCAACTAATTTTCGAAAGCATATTACCGTAGTAATAACAAAAATTTAAAAAACTGATTGGTTCATATTTTTTAATTTGGTCATAAATTGATATCTTCTGGTGCAAAATACCTGTTTAACACAGTCAGCGCTTCCTGTTTCCCCTGCATGTGCTGTTCGGAAAATTCCTCGACGTTCAGCTTCCTGCAATGAATTAAAAGAAGTACCTACGATTTCCCAACAGTGCTGAACAAACCTCAAAAATCCGCACGGCTTGTTCGCTAAAACCAGTATTTGCCCCGGCCTGATCAATACCAACCACGCCTTCATTTCGGAGTTTGGTGCATATGTCAAGTACTGTTTTTGACCATTCTGAAGAACATTTGCGCTCATCTTTTACCTTCGTATGTCTCATCTAACTTACCTGGATGATCCTCCATGCAACAGAGAATACTGTAGACATGGACTCCAAAATCCGTCCGGCCTCGAAGCAATCCCTTGTTCACGGCTTCCACCGTCTGCTCCGGAGTGAGGTCGCCTTTACCGTGATACGGAGGAAACTTGTCCCACAGAAAATTCCTAGCAGTATTTGAAAAGTAGTGAGGGCTGTAGCGAAGTTCGGTGTATAAGATATTGAGCTTTGACTGAGTTTCACAAAATTCATACGCGATTCTTTCCAGAGCAGATTTATCGCCACTAAAAAGGAAGGCAGTAAAGTGAAGTTGTGAAGTTAGGTTATACTCACATAACGACGGGCATAAAATCTTGAAATGCGTTTAGAAAGCTGATCAAATTGCCAAAATCTTGTGTTCTTAGGTATTTTTTTAACGATTCTTCATCTTGCCTTGGTAGCGGTATTTTCTTTTCTCTATAACGCAATGAAGAATGTACGAAAAAGAAAATATCGATAATTTAAAGTATATAATCATTTTTTAGTCCTATATATTTTGCTGATTGTGAATCAGCAGTTAGGTGACCAAGACACTGCGTCATAAAGCTCCGGCACTAAACAGCAGAGCAGCACGTTTCACGTGATCTGTGACGTCTTGGTGCAGCCGTTTTGGCGGAGACCGCTGGTTGATGTAGCACTTGGTGCTGCAGTCCCGAGTTCAACTGGATAAATGTGGTCAGCTGCATCATTTGCGTGATTCAGTCCATCATTTATATATCAACGGATAGCTCTCTGTGAGTTAAGTACGACCCGGTAGTCAAGGTAGTGAATTTCTTATTACAATTCCATTGTGACGATTGTACGATGCCAGTACATCAGGGAGTAGTCTGTGGACAAGAGTTTGAATTTATGTCGTTAGCAGATGGTCATCTGTATCGATTATTTGACTTCGCCGATCACACTGCTCATGAAAAGCTTTCTGCATGTAAAATGTGAAGCCGTTGTCAAACTGTGAATGCCCATGATTTTTATTTTATTTTGTGATTTTACGCGAGGGCCCTAAGTCAGCACGCTGTTATTTAATCGGGAGTTTAAGTTAATACAATTGCGGGTGGTCATCTGCATCAAGTACTTTATTTAACTCCTTTAACCCCCCCCATAGTCGTTTGTGAACAGTATATGAATTTTCGTCATGAGAATCAGTTTCAAAGTTGGCAACTTCGTTCAATGATTTCATTGTGGCAATTACAGCAAGGTCATTAAATTGGCACGCGTCAACATCAGCAGTCGCAAATATAAATTTTTGGATCTTTCAGAAGCGATTATCCTGTTTTCTTTGTGGATAATTTCATAATTTCCATATCAATCGAAAGCTCTCTCTCCGCAAAAATCCGTAACTTTTGTCAAAGCGATGAATTTCCAAGTTTCGTTTAATAAATGCATGATATTTATGAAGTGACGTCATTATATTTCAGAAAGAAATCACCTAAAGATGAATTTATATAGCTGACTGATGGATATCATTATGACATGATTGATTTAACTGTTATTTATCCAACAGTGGATGTCGAACTTGTGAATTTAGAAAATTCCTTGTTACCTTATGGTTTCAAAATGAATTTGCTCAGAATTCGAATGCCGCGCTTTCCAAGAGACCTATTTCAATCCCCTTTTCACTTTCTGTAATCACATTGCTTGTCGAAGCGTATTTCTCTATGAATACTCTGTGAAACCGGTCGAATATTCGAATTACAAGGAATTTCAATTTAATTATTCACTTCACCGAAGCTTCGTGTGGCCATACATCCAATTGGCTACCGCCACTGCGATTTCAGCATTGCTAACATT